GGCACACCATCGCTTCGAATATCAGATCGACAAATGGAATATATAGCACAGAATAGGTGGTTTCATTTTCGATTTATCCACATTAAAATCTTTCATATTTCATTTGATCAAAAACTGAGACTCAGTCTGCAAAAACTGTACCAAAATATTTTTTTTAGTTTTTAAAGTGGAACACAGATTTTTAGAGAGTGGCTCCCACAATCATTTTAAGGTATGCCACTTTGAAATCGGATGTTCGTAAGCAAAGTTATGGGCTAAGAAGTGCAAGTTTTAGGTCACTTTTCTGCAGGCCCATTTTTCGAAAATTTGGAAAGGGGTTACATTGCTTAAAATGATGAAAAATGGACCCAAAAGAAAAAAAATAAAGTGGAAACGCAGTTTTTTAGAGAGTGGGGCCACAATCATTTTAAGGTATGCCACTTTGAAATCGGATGTCCGTAAGAAAAGTTATGGGCTAAGAAGTGCAGGTTTTAGGTCACTTTTCTGCAGGCCCATTTTTCGAAAATTTGGAAAGGGGTTACATTGCTTAAAATGATGAAAAATGGACCCAAAAAAAAAAAATAAAGTGGAAACGCAGTTTTTTAGAGAGTGGGGCCACAATCATTTTAAGGTATGCCACTTTGAAATCGGATGTCCGTAAGAAAAGTTATGGGCTAAGAAGTGCAGGTTTTAGGTCACTTTTCTGCAGGGCCATTTGATGAAAAATGGACCAAAAAAAAAAAATAAAGTGGAAACGCAGTTTTTTAGAGAGTGGAGCCACAATCATTTTAAGGTATGCCACTTTGAAGTCAGATGTCCGTAAGAAAAGTTATAGGCTAAGAAGTGCATTTTTTAGGTCACTTTTCTGCAGGCCCATTTTTCGAAAATTTGGAAAGGGGTTACATTGCTTAAAATGATGAAAAATGGACCCAAAAAAAAAAAATAAAGTGGAAACGCAGTTTTTTAGAGAGTGGAGCCACAATCATTTTAAGGTATGCCACTTTGAAGTCAGATGTCCGTAAGAAAAGTTATGGGCTAAGAAGTGCATTTTTTAGGTCACTTTTCTGCAGGCCCATTTTTCGAAAATTTGGAAAGGGGTTACATTGCTTAAAATGATGAAAAATGGACCAAAAAAAAAAAAAAAAGTGGAAACGCAGTTTTTTAGAGAGTAGAGCCACAATCATTTTAAGGTATGCCACTTTGAAATCGGATGTTCGTAAGAAAAGTTATGGGCTAAGAAGTGCAGGTTTTAGGTCACTTTTCTGCAGGCCCATTTTTCGAAAATTTGGAAAGGGGTTACATTGCTTAAAATGATGAAAAATGGACCCAAAAAAAAAAATAAAGTGGAAACGCAGTTTTTTAGAGAGTGGAGCCACAATCATTTTAAGGTATGCCACTTTGAAGTCAGATGTCCGTAAGAAAAGTTATGGGCTAAGAAGTGCATTTTTTAGGTCACTTTTCTGCAGGCCCATTTTTCGAAAATTTGGAAAGGGGTTACATTGCTTAAAATGATGAAAAATGGACCCAAAAAAAAAAAATAAAGTGGAAACGCAGTTTTTTAGAGAGTGGGGCCACAATAATTTTAAGGTATGCCACTTTGAAATCGGATGTCCGTAAGAAAAGTTATGGGCTAAGAAGTGCAGGTTTTAGGTCACTTTTCTGCAGGCCCATTTTTCGAAAATTTGGAAAGGGGTTACATTGCTTAAAATGATGAAAAATGGACCCAAAAAAAAAAAATAAAGTGGAAACGCAGTTTTTTAGAGAGTGGAGCCACAATCATTTTAAAGTATGCCACTTTGAAGTCAGATGTCCGTAAGAAAAGTTCTGGGCTAAGAAGTGCAGGTTTTAGGTCACTTTTCTGCAGGCCCATTTTTCGAAAATTTGGAAGGGGTTACATTGCTTAAAAAGATGAAAAATCGACCCAAAAATAAAATCAACAATCATACAAACTGGCCTAAAATAAAAATGTTAAGCTAAGGAATACCAATGAATTGGAAATTTTGTAACGAATTCAGGGAGGTATGGCATTTGGTTTTGATCAAAAAAAGGAAATTTTAGTTGATTTTGGTCATTAAAAATGACTGTGTTGGATTGTTTCAACATTGGTCTTTTGTTGATAAAGATAGTTTGTAGCAGTTAATCCCATAGTTATATTTCCAGTTTAGCTTACTTCCACAAGTTATATCTGGAAATTGCACGGAAAATGACTCGAGTGCGTGGGTTGAGAGGGTGGGGAGGGGGTGGATACGAGTGTGTGGGGGGGGAGAAGTTATTGTTGTCAACATCGACATTACCCCTTTTGTCGAACAGTTGGTTGGGCCGACGGGTTTTGGTGGTGACATTGGTGACACTGGCGACAGCGGCGGCGGCAATTAATAATACGTAATTTATGTTCGGCATTCAATTCTATTTGACTTTTGGCCCAAAACACTCAGACATTGCGTGGGCAAAAAGAGGAAAGGAAAAGGGTTAACTAAAGGGGCAGGGGAAATGCTGCAACTTTTACGGCCGCACTTAAACTCTTTGCGCCTTTTGCTAGTGAAGCGTTACAATTTACAACCGCCGTCAGTCGGGCGTAACCAACGATTCCAGACTGCAACTATACTACACTATACTCTGCTATATTATACGTGTGTATATACTTTTCCCGCATGCGGGCATTCAATTAGGGATCCGAAAATACAAATACGCCGTAATCCGACGTTATCTCGTCGAGCTGGGAGCATTCGTGCCAAATTCTATTAGCCCAGTGCTTAACGCTTGGCTTAGCCACGCCGTCGATAATCGCCGCTTGGCTAATCCAAACTGCCTGTCAAACTGCAGCCGCAGGCGAAGTTTTTATTAAATTAAATGTTACACCTTCGATATCCGGCAGTCAAGTTGGCCCAAGTGCTCAAGCCCATCATCGCCAGTCTGCCGGGGACAGGAAAAGCCGAAAACTTTTCAAATTGAGGGTGCGGATAAGCGACAGTTTCCGAAAAAATCAATTAAGAATACAGGAAATTTGAAGAATATATGCGAGTAGAGAATGATTCATTTAGAATTAAGAATACAGGAAATTTTAAGAATATATGCGAGTATAGAATGATTCAGGGACCGAAAATCGTTATTTTAGACTTTTACTTTTGAAGGACTACTGTATTTTTCTTTTACAACATCACAAATAAAACTCGTTTTACTCTTGTCCACAAAGCTCTTCAAAATCTGCTCAATTAACTTGTTATTTAAAAAGAACTATATAATTGGGATTGGTATACATTTTAAATCTAAGAATATTTGGTTTTTTATAAAAGTATTTTCAAGTTCTTGGGAAAAACTTTTTTCTGGAGTTATCTCTTCCCTTAGTAGACTTTACATGCATTGATTTTCCCTTCATACTTACTTTTATGCCAACAAATTCACGACCAATGGGATTTCTTGCAAAATTCTGTTGGGTGTCCTTAATGGAGAGGAAATCCTGGTCAGTACAGTCCCCAGCAAACCTGGCCATCAGCAGACAATTGACGGGCAGTGTGGGTCAGTTAATTATGACACGCACTGTTTGCCAGCCGCTGCTATTTATTTATTCATTTTATTTAATATTCCCGTTGGCGCTGCTCATTTCGGGGAAGGATGCGTGCCGAGGGGGGAAATCCAGCAACCAGACAACAAACAATAAGCCCAAATAAAAGAAAAAAGTTATCCAAATAAATAAAACGGAAAATCTAATGAAACACGGGCCGATTTTGATTGCATGTTGTTGTTTTTCCAGTTTGTACCATTCATATTTGTTTGAAAATGCAGTGTTTGCTTATTGTTTTTTTTTAGTAATAATTTTTATTTAATTTCCTTTGTTTTGTTGTTGTTTAATTAATTTTATATATAATTGCAGTGACATGAGGTGTTGTTGCTTCTTCATTAATTTTATCCATATACATATATATATTTAAATATATATCCTTTCGTACATAATTTGTTGTTGTTGCTGTTGATGTTGCTGTTTTTGTTCTTGTTTCGGGTTGTTTGCGTTTGTTTTAAATTTAATTAACTATAATTAATATTGCTTTTGCGTATAATTCATTTTCAAAAAACAGCTAACCAACAGAAAAAAAAAGTCAATTCTTTTCCATCATAAAGATGATGCCAGGTGATGATAATGATGATGATGATGGTGTGATTTTGCATTATTATTGGGTTACAAGGAAAACAAATCGCTACAGAAATTTATTTTTAATTTTTTTTTTGTGAATTTTTTACTGGTTTTTTCTCGTTATTTGTGTGAGTGTATTGTGGGTGTGTGTGTGTTGGTGTGCGAGTGTGTGTGTGTGTGTGAGGGGCTGGTGTGTGGGTGTGTGTTAGCTGCGTCTTTGTCGCTCTCTCTTAAATTATGCGAGGAACATGCGTTGAATTCAACTCTTTTCATTATCTTTTTTTAATCCATCTTACACAAAAAAAAGTGTACTTTTCTAATAAAAAAAATTAAATTTTTTATCCATACTTTTATAGTATATATGTATATATATTTATGATATAAACACACACAGAACTCGTGCCCTAAATTAGCATCTCAGGGGGTTCCGAAAATTAAAATAAAAATACGACAAAAAAAATTGATTACTTTCTTCTTTGGTTTTTAGAACTTAAAAGTACGAAAAAAAATCGAAAAAAAATATATTATAGTTTAATTAGGAAAACTCAAGCTCTCATAGTTTATATAGTTTTTGTTTCGATAAGCATTTTCCATCGTCTACGAAGAAAACTTGTCACTGGTGTGTGTGTGTGTGTGAGTGTGTGTGTGTGGGGGTGGTGCTGCATGTGTCTGTGTGTTTGTTGAGTGTTTACGGTATCTTGGTACTTAAGAGCTACATAAATTATTCATGTATATATATTTCTATGTATATAGGTTTTATTTACGTTTACTAAAAAAAAATTCATCCACCTAAGACTAAGAAAAAAAATTGCATTTATTTTGTTTTTTTTTTGTGTTATTTTTTTGGGGGTTTTTCCATTCTTGTTTTGTTTTTTTTTGTATGTTTTACTAAGGTTACAATCTGTATATATATCAGCTTCTATATATACTATATATATATATATATATATATATATGTTCTAGATGTATATAAAGAGGCGCCATCTTTGATGTTGCTATTTCCAATCCAATCAATATACATATATGGGTGATACATATTTTATATATGCCTTTATAAATTTGTATGAGGGTATTTGTTTGCCCCTTATTTCTCATTGTTTTTTTATGTTTGTTTGATCTCCAAGTGTGTTGGCCCTTCAAGGCGCTAAAAGTTTCATCCGTTCTTGCCACGCCCCTACTCCTTTCCTCCCCCCTCCCCTCCCTCAATCACACTGCCTGCAAATCGCCGGCGATTTCTAGGGGCTAGGCTTTGCTTAGAAACGAGACAGAAAAAAAAGGACTTATGGCCGGCGATTCGAGCGGGGGGCAGGGTGATTGGAAAGGACGACTCCACTCCCTACTCCTCTCTCTCTCTCCTTTATGCTACAAATGCCCAAGTCCGGGGATCAGATCGCTATATGTATGTACAACACTGGCGGCTAAGCCACGAAAACGGCGGCCGTGTACTTCGGGGGCTAGAGGCTGCGGCGTTCCTCCGTTCGCGGTCAGACGTCGACGTCCAGGTCGAGGTCGATCACCGAGCTGCGGTCCTCGTCCTGCTCCTCCGCCTCCTCCTGCTCCTCCACGTCCTCCTCCAGCTCCAGCTCCAGCTCCAGTTCCAGGCCGCCGTCCTCGCAGTCGGAGCGGCCGTCCAGTAATTGTCACTGGTCCGCCCCGCCCGTCGTCGCCCCATGATGCGGATGCGGGTGCAGATGGGTCGGGTGGTGCTGCTGCTGCTGGTGGTGCGCCTGGTGCTGCTGCGGCTGGTGGTGCGGATGCGGCTGCTGTGGGTGGTGCGCCTGGGTGTGGTGGTGGTGTTGGGCCGCCTCCTCGGCCAGTTGCAAAGCAGCCGCTGCCGCCGCCGCACTGCCGTTGTGCTGCACCTCCAGTCCGTTGACCATCTTCTCCATGCTCTTCAGCTCCGACGGCGAGTGCTGGGCCTGGGCCACGCCCCCTCCGCCCCCGCCGCGCTTCATCAGGGAAGGGGGCGTGGTGGGCGACATGGAGATGGGTCGCGTGGGCGGCGAGTGGGAGGCGGGCCGCGGTCGCGGACTGGAGCTCAGGCTGCGGGGTCCGTTCTCCACCACGCCCCCACCCAGAGGTCCGCCGCCGGGCGGATCGCCCGAGCGATTGGCATTCGAGCCGGGAGTCACTGCATCGAAGGCGGAGCCCAGGCTGCCCGGCAAACTGTACGGCGAGAAGCGGTGGCTCTTCAATCCCTGCAACGGCGACACCGGCGTGTGTCCCGCCGCCGCGTAGGCGTGGCCAAACAAGGCCGGATGCTGGGCGGCCAGCGCCAGCTGGGCGTTGAAGAGCAGGCCGGGATTGAGGCCCGCCGGACTCATGGCCGCCGCCGCCGCCGGATTGTGCAGCAGGCCCAGATGCGGCGGCGGATAGAGGCCGTGGGGATAGAGGTAAGGCAACAGGTGCGGCGACGGATGGATCGGCGGACCCACCGAGATGTTCGGCGAGGGGTAGCTGCCGCCACCACCGCCACCGCCGGGATTTAGGCCAGCGGCCGCGGCGGCCGCCCCACCACCGCCTCCTTGGGACTGCCCGTCGAGGTGGGCCTGAAGGCACCGCCGGTGCTGCCGCCGACGCTCTCCGAGCAGCTCGAGTCGCTGCCATCCCGCTCCGCGTCGGCGTCCGCCTGCAAGCGGCGACGCAGTGCATCCTCCGCACTGGCATTCGCGGCAGCAGCGGCTGCGTGCTCCGAGGCGCCGGCTCCCGCGCCCGCCAGGTGGTTGAACCAGGCGGCCAAGGCTGTTTGGTGGGAGAAAAAAAAAGGGAAAATTAGAAGAGTTCATGGCAATGGACAGACATCAGGAGTTGTCGGGTATAGAGCAGTGATGGGCAGTGGATGGCAGTGTCTCCTACTTGCAAATACACAGAAAACAAAACAAACTGCATATATTTTACATCTTATTGAGAAATTCGAACTTCCCCATTGCAACTACCTAGTGTTATTGGCCAAGCCAGATTCACATAGATTCTTATGTCATTTCTTTTTGTTTGTGTAATGTTTCCTATCACGAAAGTCAACTAAATGCTTGAAGTCCTGATCAATCAATTCTTGTTACAGTATGATCTTTATTATTGTAGAGTATTTTCCCCATCATTACTAAGTTTCCATATCAAAAAGTTTTCAAGAATATCCACCTTTATCTTACCCTATGTTTCTCAGATATTTCTCTCTGTGGCTGTAAAATAACCTACAATCTTAGGAACTCTTTGAGGGATCATTATATAAAATAAAATTCATTATTATACCGAGTTTAAATGCACCCTATTATTATCCAACCGTTTTGAAATCCTCTACATCTTCTTAGATCTTATTGTGCAACACTATTCAAATAATGTCCCTGATTTTATCCATTTAAATTGGTATCTTCATAAAAAACGATGTCTGTCTTTCAAGGTAGCTGCCAATTCCCATCACTGCAAATCTGTTTTTCAGTACTTTCGATGTCCCATTACTCACCGGAGTGCTGGTGGGCGTGCATCTGCTGCAGCGAGTGGCTGAGCGGCAGGAGCGGACTCTGCGGAGGACCCACGACGTCCAGGAGCTTGTCGTCGTCGTCCTGCTGGTTGTCGAGGAGGGCGGCGTGGGGGGTGCAGGTGGGGCGGACGGCCGGCGTGGCCCAGGTGGAGCGGTGCCCGCGAACTGCTCACGTGGGTCGGGTTTAGCTTGTCCGAATCGGACCCTCGGTTCGACATCAACGCCTGCCTGTAACAACAGTTGTACGAGAGACGGGCCACAAATTAGAACATCCAATGGTCAGGTGGAAAAGGATACCCCCAATAGATTCATCAAGGATAATAAGCACTTAAATAAACGGGTACTTATATTGCCTTGAAAATAGCCGTATTAAAAAAACAGCAACCAATAATAAATAATATTTATATGTCAACAAATTGATCTCATCAATAAATATTGTGTTTTTAAAGTCCTCCTTAAGTAAAAACTCTTTTACTTAATTGATTACAATCGAAAATATTTAGAAAGTAGATTCTAACAAACTAAATCGATTATATTATTAATGCTTAAATGTAACCTTTGACTTAAATTTGTTTTAGCTTAGTAAATAGATGAAGTAATGAAAAATGTTTGCTCAATAGTGATGCATATTTATCTTAAATATACTTTAATTATAATTATATATTTATATTTATTAATTCTATTTGGGAATCAAAGTGTTAATGGATATATATTGCCACTATGCGGACTAGTTTAGCTCCCAACCCCTTCCACGAATTCTTAAACCTTTTAGCCACATTTATCGGTTGATTTTCCAGCGGAATTTTCGTTTGGGATCAGAGGGCCAAGCTTTGATAATATTGTTGGTAACTGAAATATCTGCTAAATGATAAACCAGCGCTGGCGGCGGTTGGTTCCTGTTCCCAGTTCCCAGTACCCAGTACCTAGTTCCGAAATCCCAGTTCCACACACACCGCTCGAGCCCCGAAAATGGGCTACCTTCTGTCAGTTGGGTGACGTGTGCCCCACATTGGCACCCACCCACGAAACCACCACCCACCACCCACCGCCCACATTCCCCCACTGAACCTTAATTGAAATGTAACAATGCTAGGCGGAAACGGGCCGGAGCTCTCCGTCCGTCCGTTTCGTACGGACGTAGTCTGTCCGCAAGTCTGTCCGTCCGTCTGTGTGTCTGCGGCTGACAATGAAATTGAAAAATAATTCAAAACACGTTAGTGTAATTTAGTGTCTGCTCTGGCCAATCTTCCCCCTCCTTCTCCCCCTCCCTCCATTACACACACACACACACACATTTCCCATTTCAATTTTCCTTATTTTTCCGCACCGCTGTTGTTCACACATCAAAGCCGAACTGCCTCACAAATTGGGCAATTTTAGCCAGCGAACACACATGCGAATGGTGTGTGTATCATTATCACAGCAACCACACCCATTGCAAACCACCCACACCACCCAAGCCACCCGAAACCACCCACTTTTGCATTGCTGGCATTGCGCCAAGGGCGTCTTCTTTTACACTTAACTGTTTTTCCACCTACCTGTGTGTGTGCGAGAGCCTAATTTAATAGCAAATCAATTTGTGTTAATCCAGGCAACGTATCTGACCCACCCACTTAACTACAAAGCCCAAGACGGCCAACTTTTCACGGGGTTACTCAGGGACGGCATAAACTCTTTTCTTTTAAGGCCTTATTTTTGGGGCTCTCAAAATCCAAACTCAAGAGAAAAGTATCTAAATTAATATTGGTATGATTTCATTAATTTCTTTCAATAGATTTTAGGAAGGTAAGGAACTTTCTGTTTTGATATTCATTAGAAAATTCCTTACGCTGTACAATAATGTATTTAATAATCTAAAATGTTTTCCTCAAAGCAAAGAACAAATAACCTATGTCATCCCAGTTTCAAACAAATTTTAAAGTACTTCTTGCTAGTAATATTAAATTTGTACGCCCCATTTGGGGGTAATTTCCCGTCATTCCGCCCCTGTATTATCTCATGCAGCGGGCCCATAAAATTGGGCCCAAAACCCAAAGACGTTTATCTATTGCCCTTTTGTCTCCCATTGTTGTTGTGGTTGTGTGTGGCGGCGAAGTAAACGCCCCCCGAAAAAGGGAGTTGGTATTTTGCCATGGGTGTGGTTCTTTCCAGAAGGTCCAACGAAATTGCGCTGTTTTGTGTGCTCTGTAATTTTTGAATTACGTCTAAATTTGCGGCTTTAACAGCCCACGCACGCCCACAAAGCCTCCTTTAGATATATAAATATATAAATATATAAATATAAATACCCAGAGACCAAGACCTATTGTCAACTAACGCCTCGGGTAAGCAAAAATTCAAAAAAAAAAAAAAAAAAAAGAAAAAAGTAAATAAATTTATAATGGGGTGAGAGTTTTTGCGCAAAAATCCCAGAGCAACAGGAACAACAAAAGGCGCCGAGAAAAGCGAATTTCAATTGCTGCTGTTAAAACGTTTTCACTTTGGATTTCCGGTTCTCGTTGCGCCGCGGGCAGTGGCAGGGGTTTCAAAAATAAAAAAAAGGGGGTGCTAAAGGGGGTTAAAGCAGTCCCGCAAAAGGGGTTTTTATGCAGTTGAATATCATTCCGCCGGAAGTTGCGCACTAGATTGCCACCAATTAGCATCTCTTGCTGTGAAGGACTCAACATTGGAATGCCATCACCATCATCATCATCATCATCGTCATCATTTTACAGCAGCACCCAGGATATATTTCCCTTTTTTGTTGTTGTCATGGCAGGGGCGTGACAGTTGTTAAAAGGGGGTAGCGCACAGCAACAAAACAAAACAGGAAAAAAAAGAGTTGACTAAGTCGTCACTAATTGCCAAGGATTTTTGGCAGCTCTCCCAGCACTTCTTTCACTTCTTTGGGCCTTTTGCTCTGCGGAATTGTAAGCGGTTTAGTGGTTTTGTTTTCTGACCCCTTTTTTCGGGCTGCCCCTTCCCCTCCCCTCCCCTCCTGCTCGGCTCCCAGCATTTAATTAACAATTGGGTAGAATAGAGTGGAGTTGAGTAAAGTAGACTAACTGACAACTGGCTGTCACATCAATGACCAGGCAAATTCACTGATTTTTTCGGCCTCAAACTTTGGCGGGTGGAATATAGAATATAGAGCTTAGGTTAGACAGACACGCTAATGCCAATCAAGCCAGAAGTAATCAGTTCTCGGTACACAAAAAGCCGACCTCGACTTGAGTAAATTGTTTGTGTCAAATGTGCGGTGGATGTTCGCCCAGGGTGGCTGGGTGGAAAATTGATTTGTAACGTTTAGCCATGGACATTTCGACAGTCCGCTTTGGCTATTAAATGTCATTCATCATTATGCTAAGTCACTGCCACCCACAGGAAACCGGAACCACTCGAAAAAAGGGGGATCTCAGAACCCACCGAAACTCCATACCCATGAACAAACCCACCGGGTGGCAAACAGAAATTGGAAAATCTGTGTTCTAAAAACTCAAAGCTTTTCCTGGGGGAGGGGGGGTGGTGTTTTGGGTTTTCATACCCAACAGGAAATTGCAATCAATCCATCAATATGGATTACATGTTCGAGCTGCCATCAGAGGTGCCAGTCATCAGTATTACCATCGGAAAACAGAAGCCAAATGGCCAAGAGCATCATCATTGGTTGGTCCTGCCACGCCCACAAACTCCTCCTCCTCCTTCGCCCAGCCTCCTTTGTGTGACTTGCAATTTGACAAGCTGCAGGCTAATTAGTTCCGCATAGATTTGACAAAAATTAATGTCCCTCTGTGTATCTGTATCTGTAAATGTATCTGTATCTGTATCTGTATCTGTATCTGCAGCTTTAGCCTGCTAATCAAGCCACAAAGCAGGAAAAAAATGGGGAGGGGGGGAGAGGATACATAGATGGATGGCTGGCCTGATTGAGATGGAGATGTAGATGGTAGATGGTAAATTGTAGATATACCAGACCAAGAGACAAATGAGTTCTCGACTAGGGAGCTGCAAAGTTTTGATTGTCTGACAGCCACAAAAGGCCAACCGAGTTTTCCCCATTAGTCGTGTCCTGATTAGTTTGCTTTTTGATAATGATTTTTCCGGGGGAATAGAAGATTAGGGGGGCAGAGATTTTGGGGAAAGGACCAAACAAGGCAAGCACTTTGTAAGCCTTTTTAAAAAGACGTAGATCTAATGTATTTAATAACTAGCAAATAGTTTAAGCTCTTAATTTAAGCTAAAACTACCTTATTTCGTTTGTATTGTTATGATTTGGAACTCTGGTAGAAAGAATAGGTTTATTATAACTTTCCTTGCTTAAAGATCGTATTAGTAGGCTAATTTATTTGTTGATGATTTACTTGTAAGTTCTTAAAACTATTTAACCCCACTCTGATAAAGTGCATTATCCAATAAAAAATACATATCCCACATTCACTGGTGATACTCACTTCTTTTCCCGCTTGCCAGCACCAGTATCACGAAAGCCCTTCGCAAAGGGATTGTTGTCGATTTTCAATTGAGTTATCTGCGGGGAACGAGAAGCGATTAATAGGCAGTGGAGATGATGGGCATTGATGGGCACTCACCTTCTCATTTTGATATGCAGTGACGGCGATGAACTCGGTCTCCTTGAAGACGTACGTGCGAAACGTGGAGTACGGCAGCTTCAGGATGTCATTGGCTCGCACCAGGTGGAAACGCGGCTGGTACTTGTGCATCGAGTTCAGGATCGTCTGCGGGCGGAGAACAGAAATAGATGCAAATGGGGGGATTAGTGGAGTATTGTCAGACGGCCGTGGTTAGTTCGTTTCGACCAACCGAGGGAAAACAAAAACGAGAGACCAAGGAACGGCGCAAGGAATTCACAAAACTCTGAACGGCAGAAAACTCCACGGCACAAGCACACTGAGAAAAAGAAGGGCACACCAAGCAGATAGGCTTTCCACAAGAAAAACAAACCATTTTCTGAAGTTAACAAGGCAGAAAATGCAATATTTTGTATACTTCAAGCTCTCAAAACAAAAATAATTAAAGTGTTATATGAAAATAAATGCAGAATACTTATTTCCTATACGATATATACAATTATTTATCATTTAAGTAAATTATTTTGTCTTAAAACACCTTTTTTGTTAGCTTTGCTTGTGTTTTTTGTGTCTTCTAATTCCTAATTGATTAAGGCATAAGCAATGTGAAATGTAATTTCAAAACGCTACCATCCAGATTTTCTCTCTGTGCAGTTACCGTAAATTTGCCTAGGTGAGGGACCCCGAAAAATACGGCGACATTGCTGACGATTTGCCGGCGTCGTCGTCGCCGTTCACTTTACACGCCAGCAACATTGACGACGGCAGCAACATTTGCAACATTTGTGCAAAACAGCCAACGACGACCACCCACCAAAAGGCACGAGAAAATCGAGGAGGAGATATATGCATACAGAAGGTATGGAAGGGAGAGCTACGAGGGAGCCTTCTTGCCAATACAAAGTTGTTGTCATAAAATATGAATTTGTCGGCGGCGGAAAAAAGGCTGACAGAGAGAAAGACCCCCCAAGCAAGCTGCAATGGCCCTCTTCTTCTCCCCAACCCCCTCCCCCCGCTTGAAACCCCCTATATACGAGTATATTGCCCAATCCATTTCGATCCGTTTCGATCCGTTGTTGCAGAAAGGAACACCTTTTTAATTACCATAACTCGTCGGCTCGACTTCGATTAAGCGACAAACAGGCCTAGTAAAACCTGGACAAGTTGCTGCTGTGTCTGTTGTTGCTGTTGCTGCTGTTGCTGTTGCTGCTGTTGCTGTTGCTGCTGCGTGTGGAGACCCCACAAGCAGCACCCGTCGCCATTTTGTTCGTGTAATTTGGAATGAAAAAAAAAGGAAAAAAAACTTTGGGTTGTTGCTACAACGAACGAGCGAAGCAAGGAGACAAAGAGAGCAAACAAAGCGAGACAGCCCACAATGTGTATCTCATAGTACGAGTATCTCGTATCTTGTATCTGCGCCGGATTCGCACGCCTCTCGCCAAGCCAAAGCCAAAACCAAAACCACCAGACTATCAGACCACCAATGGCGACTCGGCCCAAGAAACGAAGGTGTGACTAATGCGATGGGGGGAGGTTCAAGGATGAATCAGTATCGGAGCTCCAAGTGACTACATCACCGCGCGGGAGGAGTGGATATGACTTCATTTTGGACCACGACTGTGTATACTGAATACAAATATATTTCACAATTCGTTTAAGAAAGATGTGGCTACGAAATACCTGAACACATAAATAAGCAAAAGCTTTGAAGTACTAGAAATACTGCTCACAGAGTTCAAATTACTGAATACAATTACAATACCCACATTTATAAATATCACGAAATACAAAAGAGACACTACCTAGCGAATAATGAAAAGGACTTTATTTTTTTAATCAGTAATCAAAAAATAAGAATATAAATATTGTTTCCTATGTTTGACTTCCCCTGGTAGTATAAATTAAACTACTTAGCAGATTCTGTTTGCAACTACAATTTATAATTGAACATTTTGAAGTATCAGGTATTTGATAAATATAGGTATATATTTTTGGATATATTTTTGATTAATTCGTAGTATTAATTATGACTACTTAATACTATTGTTATTTATTATTTGATTGGAATTTAGTAATAAATGGCACAAGTGGTATGGGTGAGCATTCGTTTTATTATCATGAAAATCAAAAACTGATGGTGTTTCGAAATCGATCCAATCAAATCAGATATGAACCCCCTCCATTGGCATGAAAACAAGGCATTCAATCGAACACTTTACTCCAGAGCTGAAAAACACCGAAAAACCGAAACACAAAAGGCCAAACAAAATGCCAACAAAGAGCTGATTAATTGCCCCGCCATTTTGAACTAAACGCTTTTGCTCCACCCGCTTTTTTGGGTCCTCGGAAAATCGCCAATCAACCAAGCTGGAAAGCCTTTTAAAGGCAAACACTTTATGGCCGGGCGATCATCCATCAAACTCGAGCCGAAAGTCGAAATCAACAAAAAAGCAAAAAAAAAAAAGAGGCAACACAAGTCCATAAATCGCGGGCAAAACGCGTCGTCGTCGTCGTCGTCTACTTAAAACGTCATTTGCTAATTTGCTTTAAATTTATTGACACATAAATTCATTTCAGCAATCATCATAATTACGCCGCTAGTGTAGCTGTGTGTGTCTAGAATTTATTGATAAAACAATTTGCATTATTACGTTAATTTTTCATTGGCCTGCCATGCATGGCGCACAAGGCGCAAAATTGTCATTTAAAATGTCATTTTGGTCGCTGAGTTTTGTGCGCCGAGTTTGAATTGCGATTTAAATGAAAATAACCGTGAAGATAGCCATAAAAATATAAGCATGCAATGCAGTTTGTTCTCTGCTCTGCACTTTTGCAGTTTTTTTTTTTCCAAATGGGCATAAACAAGTCTAATTAGACATGAAGTGCGATTGTCGTCACTCAAACAGGCAGCAACCAGATTGCTGATGTTGCTGCTGGGTTTTCTGATGTTGCTGCTGCTGCTGGTGCTGCTGCTGCTGCTGTCGTGATTGTATTTGCTGATTGAATTGATTGGCGAACAAAAACCCAAGGCAATTATGCATCAAATATTGCCTTGCTGCACGTAGAAATTGCAAGTTGCATGTTGCATGTTGCTGCTTTTACTGCTGCTGCTGCTGTGCAGTTTGCAGTGTCAAGTTTTGTATTGACAAAGTACAATCCAATCCGTGGAGCAGTTAATCACTCTATATATCGCCCGGGTGACAAACTGATTGAGCCGCCGGCGGTCAATACCAAAAATGGTGCGACAATTTCATGTTGCCTTTGGTGTTGCTGCTGTTGCTCCCGTGTTGCTGTTGCTGTTGCTACGTGTTGCTGCTCGCTGGTTGCTGGTTGCTGGCTGCCGGCTGCCGGCTGCATCTGCACCCAGCTTGAGCTCCTGTTGTTGCTGCTGCTGTGCTTTGCTGTGATGTTGCTCCTTCCCCCGCCAGCAACACGTTTGTTTTGGGCTTTTGCGTGTTGATTGCTAAAAGGTAAAATCGTTGTTGCTGCCGGTAGATTGCTGTTGCAGTTGTTGCTGCCGCTGCTGTTGCTGTTGCACACTCATTGTTGGCATATTATCACATAATTTAACTGATGATGGCACTGCTGTCGTTGTTGCCTTGTGTGATTGCTGTCGCCGAGTTGTTGCTGTTGCTGTTGCAGTTGTTGCTGCAGCAACTTGTGTTGCTGGTGTTGCTGGCGTGCTGGGTTAATTGAATGATCACTCACACTTTGATTCGATTTGGCATGTAACCAGCGAGTTAACGGTGATCGCCAGTTAGATTGAATTGACTCTCCAACTCAGTGGAAAGTTCAGGAAAAATAGCAAAAATAGCGAAAATAAAGGAACTCAAGCAAAAGGTGATCGTGAGTGAATTTCAATTTCAGCGACTCTACGAGTGAGTTTCTTTTGGCAAAATATACTGGGAGATCGTGTGAAGAAGATCGATGCCAAATTGAAATTGGCAGCAAGTGATCAGCAAAATGTTTTTCGTTTTTATTCGTTTGAGCAATTGATGGCTTGATCGGTTGATGGCTTGATCGGTTGATCGCTTGATCGGTTGATCGGATGATCGGTTGATCCCACTGATCGCTGGTTCAATGATCTCGTACGATCGCGAGTTCTAAGGCACCGGCTTTCGGGGCCAAATGACAATGATAAACTCTCTCAATGATCATCTCCGGACTCAATTAGGCAACACAACCATTTTCGGCTACCTGTTGACCAATTATGGGCATAATTGAAGCGCCTCTGATGATGACTAAGCCAAAGATCCCAGTCGAGTCGATTCGAGTCGAGTCGCTTTTTTATTAAGCTGTATTAAGTATTAAAGCGATATGCATATTGAGCGATCTATACCATAAATATCAACACGAAACTCTGATCCAGCCGGAGAGCCCCATGTCTTAATTAAGCCGCCGGATCAGGTAGACCCAGAAAAAAAAGAGTAGAGGAGTAGATCCCCCGACGGGGGCCCACCATGCTGCCTCATATTAATCTGTAAATTATGCATAATTTTAATGCCCCCGAAAGAGAAACAAAAAAAAAGGAAAACAAACAGCCACCCAAGTCCAAAATCTCTTTTACCATGGACATGTCAAAACTCTCACGATGCAGCTGCCAATCGAATCGAATTCGAATCTGAATCCGAATCTGAATCCGAAATACGGTGACCAAGTCAAAATTTATTTACAATTTATAACAATTCTTTTTGGGCTGCCTTATCGGCCGGTGGTCGTTCGTTTGTTTTTTTTTTCTCGGTGTGGGGGGAGGAAAAATGTTAATTAAACGGATTTACATTTTAATGACAACACGAAGCGAAGGCCACAAGAGCCCCCCGAAAAGAAACCGATTGAGATACAGAAAGACGCAGAGACAGAAAGAGTTGTATGTGGTAGAGAGGCCCACTTGAAAAGCTCCAGCAGACTGCAGCCAATTGCAAATTTGCTAAGCGAAATGGGCGGCGTTTTGGGGCCAGAGAAAAAACAAAAAAACAAAAAAAAAGACATGAAGAAAAATAAACCCAACATTCGGTATTCAATGAAATCGCTGCAGCAGCTGCCTAATGATGCCTTTGCCTGTCCACTGCGGCGGTTTTTCTCTCTTTTGCTGTATGCAAATCGATCGTGCCTGGTCCTCTGGAAAATATCCACCCCCCGCCTCCTTC